ATGTGATATCAGAAATGTGATGTATGAGTGATCTCTGTGGCTTTTTGGGTTAGATGGAAATGAGATACAGGAATAACCGGAGATAATGGTAGTTACAGATGAGGTTGTTGTGCTCTGTATTAGTTGTTTCTAGAATCAACTCCTCTATTTTTTATTGTTTTGGGTTTTTTTATATTCATTATTAAGGAATGTGAGTCTTGTTTCTTCTTTGTGACCTCACCGTGCTTTCTGGTATCTGCAGCTGTTACACCACGAATATTGCCTTATCCTTTCTCTTCTCCTCTGGTTTCAAGCTTTTCTTTGAGCACCTCTCTGTTTCTGCAGCCTGGAGTTGAGTGTGTGTGTGCACATATATAGGTATACATATATTTAATTTCAAAATTATTTTTTGAGGAAGGGCCTAGACAGGCATTCTACATTGGGTTTTCTCAGGTATGTTGCTGTGCATGTTTTTGTTATTGGTTTTTAAAAGGTAATATGTTCTAAGAGTTTTCTGGAAACCACACTGGAAGTGCAATATTAAAAGTAATTAGGAGACATGTTTAATAAATAATGTTTTTATTATTCCCTTCCTGTATTTGTTCACAGATTGTATTTATGAGACTATAGCTCCTCTCCTCCCTGCTGTTGCAGAAGGGATTCATGTCCCTACTCCAGGAGGGGATTAGGTTTGCTTATATTCATATTTGGTTTGTTTAATTCTTTTACATTTCTTTATACTTAGACCACTCTCCATGCTGGATTAATTACCTTATTACATGCACTTCTCTTCTTACTATTTAGTGCTGTTTAGCTTTGCTTTCTGTGAATGTTTCCTCTAGTCCCTGCTGTCTGTGCCAGCTGGTTGGAAGCAGGGGCTCCTGGCTGCTGCAGTCTGTGCTTGTGCGTTGCTAAGAGGAGCTCCAACACTCAGACTCCCATGACCTGACATGCTGCAAGGCACACACATGATTTGTTCTAAGATAAAATATTTATTTTGCTGTTTGTTTGTGCTTTACTTCTTTATGGCTGTCCGTGTTGTTTAAACTAGCTGGAATGCAGAGCGTGCCCTGTTACATGCAGTTATTACACTGAACAGATTAAGGCTTGCTTGAGTCGGTACTTTGTTGTGGTTCACTTCTGGTCAGCTGCTGTGGTTTAAAATCAGATGAAAACTTGTGTGACGGCCCAGCGTTCTGCTGCAGTTGTAGCATCTAACCTGCTGACCAGGCCAAGAGGGCAGGGCTGTTGGTTTGGGTTTGTTTTCCCTGGTCATGATGTCAGTACTGATTCTACTTTCTAATTCTTTCTACGTTGTAACAGCTCAGCTTAGGCTGTGGATCTGTACCCACCACAGGAGGAACATAACCCTCAGAGCCTTTCTATTTTATTCTATTATTATTCTATTCAGGATAAGAGCAAGGTTTGCTGGAGATAATGCTGCACACTTCCATTGGATTGAATGTGGGGCTTGGGATGACGGAGAAAAAGGGATTTCAAAAACACACGCAATTGTCTATTTCTTAGCAAGATCTGTTAAAGCTTAAATTTTAGAAAGAAAAGAGTGAAAGCTCATTAAATCAAGTTCCTTGGACAAAGTTAATGTAATGTGATGTGTCATAAAATAACCACTGGGAGCAAGTCTGAATGTGTATCAGCATTCTGGCATTAAGGTTTCTCTCGTACATGTTCAACAGCTGAAGCCTTGAAGGGCTGTGTATCTTCGGGGAGCTCAGAAAATGAATGCTGGTGTTTGTGGTACAAACTGATTTTTCTTATTCTCAAAGAGTTATGTGCTTGTCTTACATAAGAGGAGGAACATGAAAATAGATAGAGGATGTTTCTACCTGCTGAAGTACTCCTGTCCTTTGGAAATAGCAGTGGCTAAACAGAACCACCATCCTGATCCTGCTGGAGCACAATAGCTCCATACTCTCATTTTCTACCACTGTCATCTTTTTATGACAGGTAAAGCATCAGTATCTGAGTGTGCAGTGTAAAGCACAGCCTGTGCTGTCTGCTGGGGGGCTGACATCTGTTAGGTCTTCAGCAGAGGCACCTACCTAGAGTTGAAGTAACAGCACAACTTTAAATGACATAAGCCAAGCTTAAGGCACAACTGTTTGTCATGTGCTGCTTCAGTGTTTGTAGGCCTTTTAGATGCAGGTTAGTTGCTCTTCAAACAGTCTTGTTGATAGCAGTATTCTTATAACTGGAATTTATCTAAATGCTCATTTACACAATTCTGTTTTAAACTGAGTGCCAAAGTTCTTTAATTTCTGATTGTATTTTAATGTCTAAGCATAAATATTTTATCACTATGTATTTAACTCCTTTATGGTATCCTGATGTTAAGAGTAAAACATCTGCAGTATTTCTGTATTATGAAGAAAGGGACAAAATTTACATAAACTTATAGCATAAAGGAGGCCATCGGTACAGCCTTCCCCTTACATAGAAAGTCTGCAAGGTTACCCTTACTCTCATTAAAGCCCTCACCTCATCACATCTCCACCACTGACCCACCAGCATGAGCAGATGGTGTTTGAGGGGCTATAGGAAGAAGTGTACAGAAGGCCTGTATTTAACAATTTTTACTGCGGTAACACTTGCAGGTTTTTGTTTTGTTTTGAACACTCCACTGCAGCTGTTCTCCCCACCATAGGGTATTTTTAAATCCAAGTTGCTACAAGACTTACTTCCTGTTGCAGTTATGAGGTTAGTAAAACAGGAACAGCAATGCAATGGTATTTCATTTTAATGAGAAGATTTCTTTGTAAAAGCCAGATCACCATTTAGTGTGTAATATCTTTTAATATCCATTATAAAATCACATGAAAGAAAGGTAGACTGAATCATCATGATAGCTTCTTCCCATTTCACAGAAATTTTGTAAAGGCAATAATACAAAGTTATGCATTGGCAAGACACCAGAGATGAAAGAGACTTAAGAGATACAGGCTCATCTTTTTCTGATCCTTTTTTACCTTGCAAGAGCCTACAACGTAAAGAAATGACATAGCATCACCTCCTGATTAGAAATCAGTAGGGAGCAGTCAGTGCTGCACCTCCTGCAGCAGTTTTTCAATCATGGTTGAATGGGTGCTGTAGAAGGGTAGCGCATCCACCTCCATTTCCAGGCTGGCAGATACTCCACTGCGGACCTCAAGCTGCACAAGTGCTTTCAGAAGCTTTTCTTCCTTAAAAGAGAAATGAATACGATACAATTAAAATCCCATATCAGGCAAAAACATTGAGGCCTTAATTTTAAACCCAGGGAAGACTCCGACCTCACCCACTGGATTTTTTTGCAGACACCATTTTTCTTCTCTACACTCCTTCAAGGAGCATGATAGTGTCAATTCAGAAATGTGAATCCTTTCCACCTACTCTGAAATTCCTATATTGCACAAATAAGAATGAGAGAAACCTCCACCCAAATTACCTGCTGCAGTTTTCGCAGAGCAGCAAGCTGCAGGGGCATCTTTAAACCAAAAGTACCAAGGAGGAAACAGGTATGTCAGGGAAAAAGCTTACAGGCAGAACCTGAACAGTCTGCGTGATCACTCTCCTTTCCTGCGTATTGGGTGGTGCCAATGTGCATTTTGCATCCTGACCTCCTCTTCTATTGATTTTGAGAGTTCTGGGCCCTTAAGAAAGGGCTGGGGAGAAGAAATACCCCGAAGTTGCTCTTTCCTGGAATTCTTTGAAATAATGTTTAACTTGCTATGTTTAGAACTGTGGCTCTATTTTGTGTTTGTAACAGTTATTTTCTTGCTTAACAGTAATGTAAGCAGATATGAAGCATGTTCCAAACTGAGCTGTTATAAGTACACAGAGGGAACCAAATCCTTGATAGGGACCTACGGGTAAGTTAGCATGAAAAGAAGGGATGAAATCAGCCTTAAAAAAACACTACTTCTATCAGCAGTGTCATTGGCACAGTTGCAAGAGGCCTCACATCTTGCAGTTCTGCCCACTCCCAGAATTTCTGAAAAGCCGCAGCTTCATTAGCAGCAGTAGCGAAGAGATCGATCCCTCCCCTTCTCTCTAGATTATCATTTCTGTACATTTCCCAGAATCTTAAAACTTTGGAACCTCCCCATTGGCAAGTTTTGAACTTCCTGTTGAATTTCAATGAAGGGAATTCAATTGCAATCACAGGGAACACTGGCAAAGAAGCGGGTAATGTGACTGGGTATGCCTTCCTTCCTTGAGGACTATACAGGTTACTTGTGTATACATGTTCAGTTTAGCATGATGTTATAAGATGAAGACCTTTAAGACAGCGGTGCGTAAATTGTCTGTTGTTTCAGTAATCTTTGAGAATTTTGGAGACATTCAAAAATAGTTATTCCTGCTACTCTGCTTTTCATTTGACATGAGACGTGCCCATTAAAACCTTATATATCATCTTAGCATCTCCTGTAAAGATAAAGTATTCCTCTAATTTTAAATTAAAAAAAATCTAAGGAGAATAAGTAGCCTAATCACACCTTAGCTTCCTTCCATCCCACGCCCTATTAACTTACATAATACCTCAATGTAGTCTCATACATATATGCGTATACATATACATGCATATGTATATATCTTATTTCTTGAGAATGTCTATTTTTTCTATGAATGCCTTTTCTGGTTGGTTTTAATTCCATTTGCGTGATACTCTGCTGTGAGGGAAATTGTTACGACCAAACAAAGCCCTATCCTTGTCCTTGGCAGACAGCTGTATAGGTTGAAATACTTCTTATTAGCTATTCCCATACAATAACATTAGGAATGTCTTTTATATCCTGAATAAATATGAATGACCAAAAATGTGTAATGTTAAAATATCTAATGTTCTCACCTTTAAAGGGTTGTTTCTTTCCACAAAGACCTATAAGCCATACAGAAATAATTCAGCTGTTACATCACTCTCATGTCACAAAAGAGACCTCTGAAGTGGATAAGCAAAATTTCATTGTAATTTCAAATTGTTTCTCCTACATATTTACAAGCTCCAGCTCTTTGACCTGTTTACATGGGGGAAATGGTCTTGCTTACTTAACGTTATGAAACTATGCTTGATACAGTACTCTATCAACAAATGTTATTGTTGAACTTGTAAGAAACATACACAACATGCAGTGTGGTCTGTAAAGTGCTGCAGTTTACTCACAGTACTCTGATTAGTAAATGCTTATGTTGGGAGTGAGGAAATCAGAAATAAAAAAAAAGAACTCCAATGAAATCCAAACCCACCAAATTCATAGAAAAGGAACTTGGTAATTTGCATTTACTTCATGGAAAAACTCGCTCGTGAATGAAAAATTTGATAAAGAACACTAAAGCAAATGACACCTTTATATATTGCTCATGATCGTGCAGACAACAACTCTGAAAGAGGTTTTAACATCTTTCTTTACATTCGTCTCAGAAAAGCTCTAAGAATATAAAAAAATATAAAAGAATATAAAAAAATCAAACCAGCCTCATGAACTGACTCAGCTGTGACTCAACCTCCACAGCTGTGGAAGGTAAGTAAAACTACATTGGTCAAGATATTTCCACCTGATAAAGTTCTCAGCAATCAACAAATGCTTCTCTGTATCTCTTAGTAAAATATATGTAAAGGGTAATTTAGAATAATCTTCGTATTCAGTTGAGTGGGAATAGAGAGCACTGCGGTTCTGAGTTCTGCTGCAGTGCAGTCGTGATGTTGCTTTAACATGAAGGACGTGATTTAGCGAAGGGTTCTTAGAGTTAGGGTAGTATGGTTAAGTTGCGGTCGGACTTGATGATCTTTAAAGTCTTTTCCAACCTGAACAATTCCATAAGGCTGCAGAGAAATAACACACATTCTGAGGAAGTCATCTTCATTTAGTTGTTACGGTCTCTGGGTTTCGTGGAAGGAATGCTAGTTTGGAGTAAAAATGAAATATTATAAGAAGGCAGCTTGGCGCTTAGGCAAGTACACGAATATGTACTTTTTATCCTATTAGGGGAATTACTGCAGCATTAAAAGAAACTATCGGGAAGAGAGCAGCTGTAAATGGTCTGATTTTTTTTTTTTTTTTTTTTTTTTTGTACTAATGGAGTAGGTGAACAATAATGTGTTCAGGCTCAGGAAATCTTCTGCACTGTTTACTGTTGCATGATTTATAATTAAAGATACAATCTCCTCTTGTCAGAAAAATTTGTAATTTTCTTTCTTCCCACAAAACTGCTTCCGTTAATTTTATCTCAATAGATTTTGTGCTGAACTTTCAACAGCTCATTATTGGATTATTATCAATATTGCCAGCTGCGCAGCATTGTAAAATAAAAGCAAGAAGGATTTCCTGTATACAATATCCCATTTAATTGCAATATCTGTTACCAGGAAATTTGATCATAGTAGATTTGGGATATGTTAACTTCAGAGGAAAATGAGGAGATGTAAATGGAAAAAACATACCATGAAAAATACTTAGTCTAATGTTAGAGCTGCCTTACGCTTTGTTAAAAGTCAAAGGATAGCAAATACAGCTACGCTGAATGTTGGGATCAGTTTCAGTTTTATATCCTTTAAATGAACAACCAAAACAGCAACAAACTAAAGTACTACCTACTCTAAAAACCTAGTTGGAATTTCAGGCAAAACGTACTGTCATCTTAGTGAAAATACTTCAGCACTGCAGACAGTATCTATGCTGGATATTGCAGAATGGTTCTATGCTTGAAGTTACAACGCAGAAATAAATTCATTTATGAGGCTTTTGGTGCTCATACTGCCTTGAATTCTTTACTGAATATTCTAACCATGATGTGGAAGCAGGTTAGCCAGCAATTGTAGAAAGATGAGAAAAATGAAATGACTGGGCAGGATTTTAGTGGCTGATAGCTGATTCATCTGCTCACAAATGAGTCTTAGCTCCCTGGCCCTGTGGAATTTACCTTTGTAACTGATGGAAGTGCGGACAGCCAGGCTGTTTTCTTTGGTGACTGAGAAAACCCAATGGCTCTCCTCAGATAGCGATCATGTATTTCACAGGTGCTGAGAATATACAGAGCACAAGCAATGGCATAGCCTCCCCAGTTAGAGACGCCTGCGAATCAAAGGAAACACCATGAAACCAAACTGTTAAAAGTAACACTACATCAAACAACAATTATTGTAAGCATACCTAATCCCCAGAAGTCATTAGGCACTTCAAGTGAGTCACACAGCAATGCTGTAACAGAACTGGGATGTGAATCAACTATTGACAGTAATTTGGAAAATATATTTTAGAAACATACAATTAGATAAGATGTTAAAATGTTTTCATCGGTACTTCAGACTGAATTTCTGCAAGTTTTCCCCTAGCTTTCTCTCTGGTTTGTCTTCCAACAAAACAAAAATTCACTTGGGACTGCTTTATAAAACAATTCTGTTTAGTTTATGTGAAATCCATGAACTTTTGAGGAACAGTGTTACAGCTCAGTGTCTTTTGCTTTTAACAATACAGAAGCAGATGATTTTTGATGAAGAGAAACCATGCAGATTTTCACTGAAGTCAGATTTCTTAGTGAAACGCTGCACCACTCTAGAGAGTCCCTTTTTGTCACAGGTAACATCTGATTAAAGAATTCAGCAGTTTTATGACATAAAGAGGTCTGGTGGAACTGATAGTTGTCTGTGTCTTGATATGACTTTTGTTTAAACGTTGTGTGCAAAAAGACATTCATTCAAATCTAGTTAATATCCAGACTGTCTGCATGCTGTGATTAAATCACTCCACACAGCCCTGTTTGACAGCCCCTTTGTTGGGGCTGCATTGGAGAATGTTAGACTTGAAACTTGCTGTAAGAAGTTCTCTCTGACACCTCCACACGAGATGCAGAACAGCCAGATTTTTAACAACTGTGGGGGTTGTTTCAGTGCATGTAGTGATACACTGAAGATGCAGTGCAGGTTTCAGTGCATCCTCCCAAATGTGTGAACATTCCCCTTACTTGCTTTTAGGATCTGGGTGTGACGATTGCTTTCAAGGTAAAAATCACAAGGATTTCCCCAACAGCCATGCATGTTTGACATGTACGTTAAGCAGTAAGAAGTAGGTAAAATTATCACCACAGTCCCGTTTCTCCCCTCTAAAATTGCTGTTCCAGTCTCTGCAGTGTTGGAAACACAGGTGTTTCAATTCACGTGCAAAATGGACCATTCAGTTCATAGACTGTCCTTGCTGAGCATGTCTCTTCACAAAGGAATTTATTTAATACTGGTTCAGACGTTATGTTAGAGGAGAATTTCAATCTATAACGTTCAACTTCTGTTGTACATTAAGATGTGCATAAGTATGGCTGCTGAAACAATTTATCCCCTCGTGTAAGAGCAATACAGCCGATTAAGGCCTGTCACTGTTTTGGTCACACTCACAGAGGTTCATCAGTTATACCAAAAATTCATATATGCAAGTCAAATGTTCAGATATTTTTAAAAAAATTCTCAGGTCACTCTTCCCTGTTATTTCATTTAAGGTGTGATTTCTCCAGAATATTGAGGGCTTGCCCAGTTGTTTCCAATTAAATGCACTTTTGACTGAGCATCCTCAATTTTCAGTCATTTCTACATGTGCAGTTGTTGCTTAACTGCTCAGAAGATGGACACAATACAGAGACTGGTTGTGATCATACAAAGAAAGGGCCGATACAAATCATTTGGAAAGACAGGTGCTTTCTGTTCAGTTCTCTTCACAACATCAGCAACTCTCCCACACTGAACAAATCCCTTACCAGCTACAACAGCAAAGTCAGCTGCAACATCACAAGCTATAACATCTCCATTTTTAATGTGCTTCTTTACAGCATCTTTTACCTTGCCCATTCCTAATTCATTTCCTCCATCTCCAACACCTTTAATAAAAAGAGAAAAAGATCAAATGAATATGAAACCAGCATATAACGCTCCATTTACACAGGAACCAGAATCTTTCCTGGGAGTTTCTGTGAGTGTTCAAAGCTCCATCCGAGATGATTTATCCTTTTTACTGAAAGTGTCTATAAGCAGAAGGTCATGAAATAAGGAGCTGAAGGCATCACTTTACCACATGCTAACATGTAAGTGTGTGTACACAGTGTATGTAGTGCTCGTGCAGGCAAAAGAAATCAAAATTATCAAGCAATTTTTGGTAAGTTACGAAAAAATAGCAATTTTTCTGAAGTGTATATTTAAAGAACAGTGCCTCTGTTTTTGTTGGTCAAGCAGAAAATCTGCATATTTGTCTTCCAGAAATCCTGAGTATCAGTGATTCTATGTAATGTCAGAACCCTACATTTGTCACTCGGAGACCTGGAGATGAGGATAACAGAAATTATCAGCTTAAATACTGCCTTTAGTCTCTTTCTAGCATAAAAAAAAAAAAAAATGAAAAAGAATATAATTAATTAAGTGGATCATTTAAATGGAATATTCTCAAATTTATGCCAGTTAATGTCTGTGAAAAAGAATATCCATTTCCAGAACTGTGAAGAGCTCCAAATATTCACTGCAATGTATGGCATTTGAATTTCAAATGTAACTCATGCATAATACGTGTTGTAGAAAGTACAGTATTTCTAATTTACACTTAAAGTGCTGAAAATCAATAATTTTAGCTACATGAATATCTCACATATCTCTATACTAAACTTCTGTAAGTGAAATTCTAAGTTTTCTCTCAACACCACTGAGGACAACGCACTCCTTTCCAGATGATTATATCACACTCGTGTTCTCGGAGAAAAGGGCCTATTACACCAGATGAGACTATACAATCTCTGCTCAGGAGAGTGTACTGTTAATTGCAATTTAAATGAAGATTGCATCTAGACTGCTGTTTTAACACAGCTATAGCAACCATAAAATGGTTACAATAGTTCAAAATTCAGTAGTCATCTGCTTTCTCTGTTGCCTTTCACCTATATAACACATAACAAAGTCAGTGTCAGAAACTAGATTTAGGGGACTGTAGGTAGGCCCACTCATATGTATATAATGCTCACGTAATGATAATACACACACCTGGGATCACTTATTTATCCTTAAAGAACTCTGAATTCAACTCCTCTATCAGCACCTTTCCAAGGGAACTTGTAATTCTTCCTCTAACACTGCCTCTTTAAATTCAACACAGACAAACAGCCAGAGCCGTTGGGCAGCTGGCTATTCAGCACCTGCCTCCTGCTTCACCTCATTCCCAGTAAGTACAAGTTCCTGTTTCATGCTTCTTTTGCTTCTGAGATTGTAACACAGGCACATACATACCTGTTGTTGTTATTCCTGGAATGGTTTGTGCAGCTAAAAACAGTTCATCTATGGGATCTACAAGATGTTTAATATTAATTTTCCTGGCATTGTAGTAATTGCCATCAGCAGCTATCCCGGCACGCTCTATTGCTATCAGGTGATCAAATCTGGTTAGAGAGAGGAAGAAAGCAGTCAAAGCTATGATTCTCATCTAAAAATTTTTCTGTTCACTGCTTCTCCTGTTGTAGTTAGTTCTAATTCTTGATCGTTTGAGATGTGATGTAAAACTTGTACTGGTACTGTTTTGTTATTTCTTTGTGTAGTTTCCTACAGTTTGTTTTCAGAGCTTAATCTAGTTTATCTACAGATTTAATGCAACTTCCTCAAACTACTTTTGTTGTCAATAAACAGACTTTTGTGGACTCTTCCAAATGAATTTTTCTTTGTGTTAGCCATCTGGGCTTGCACTGTCTCATGTTAAAATGTGCAATGTCTTACAAGGTGAAGATGCCTGTATTTATGTAAAAATGTAGTGTCTGCTTAAAGAATGTTACTTGCAAATTGTTCACTTGTATCTGGTCAGGGAGTTTCTGGTTTGGGTCTTCACATCTTGGGGCTGTGGATTTGAGGTTTCTTTTAAATTTTAAGTCGATGTCAGTTTGTGGCTTGTGAAAGTACACAGATGTACTGCAGATGTCCAACACTTTAAGCAGAAGTTTAGTAGCTAATTCTGCCTCTTAATATTAATAATTAAATTATTTTATTTCCATTTCTGCAGCTTGAACTGTCAAGAGGTGACTGTTTCTGTTGAATTACTTAATTATTTGTGTGTGGGTATCTACTGTGATAGAGGAGACCTTAAACAGCTTAGTTGTCAACTTTTAAGAAATGCTTACTTCAGGGTTCTGGGGAATTTGTGATCCATTGAAGTAGAAGCTGGCTGTAATTAAGTTATGCTTGGAAAAAAATGCTTTTAAAACAGTACATAATAATGGAAGACTGTAGTATGCCAAAATTACAGTGCACACTAACATCGCACCTCTTGTATCTACAAGAAAGATACTGAGGACCTAGAGTGTGTTCAAAGAAGGGCAACAGAGCTGTGGGGGGTCTGGAGCGTAAGTCTTACAAGGAGCTGCTAAGGGAACCAGGATTGTTCAGTCTGGAGAAGAGTGGGCTCAGGGGAAGCCTTACCACTCTCTGCAGATCCCTGAAGGGAGCTCGTGATGAGGTGGGTGTTGGCATCTTCTCCCATGAAACTAGTGATAGGACTAAAGGGAATGGCCTCAAGTTGCAACAGGAGAGGTCCAGCTTGGACATTAGGAACAACTTCTCCAAAAGGGTGTTGAGGTGCTGGAACAGGATGCCCAGGGAGGTGGTGGAGTCGCAGGTGTTCATTTAGCTGTTGTACTAAGGGACACAGTCTAGTGCAGAAATATTGGTGGTAGGTGGACAGTTGAACTAGATGATCTTGGAGGTGTTTTCCTACCTTGGTGAGCCTGTGATTCTATTTAGAGGGAAATGGGATGTGAATAAACTGAATAAATTGATGAACCAAATGCCGGGGTGAAAAATGGTTTTTATTAAGAAGAAAAAACTGAAGGTAACAGGATTAAAATGCTGCAAAAGGAAAGATCAATAAAAAATGAGCAGCATACGCCTATTTAAAGGAAATGTTAGTTGCTTACTGAGTAGTGAAATGTGCATGGAACTACTTAGCAAAATTTCCCAGTGCATTAACATTAATCACACACTTGTATACATCTGAATTTCTGCCCAATGTTGTACACTGAACACTATGTATGCAAGCAGTTCAAACTGATGTTCAGAAGTTGGTGCATACTTCTCTAACTTTGGTGTGGGCTGCCTAAAGGCAGTAGGACAATCACTTTCACAGTATTAAAAATGCTTGGGATTTACTAAATCATATTTGATTCCTCAGTTCTTAGACTTGAACCAAAGCTCTAGAAAGCAGAAATATTCTTTTCCCTGGTCCTTCTCTGATTCCACCTCTCAGCATCCTGATTTTTCCACTAATCTAAAAACTGGGAAAAACATATATAGTATTGAAATGCCTATGTATATTGCTGTGGAATAACAGCTAAAAAGCTTTTCTTTTCTTTTTGCAGAAAAAAAGAGCTATTGATACATGAAGTATTTTTTCCTTTTGTATTCCAGAAGTTCATAATCTCAGAACAACATGGAATTCTGTACATGTGCTCCAGTACAGATGCTCTGATTCAAAGTTTGCTCTACTCGTTCCAGTTCTTAATGGCTTGCAAACATTACACCTTTTTAGATCATGGCTGTTATTTTTATTATCACTCCATGCAGTAGAAGTGTGACCCATTCTCAAAAACCAAATGAACATACCTAGGTCTTCTGGGATTCCCATTCTCACACAAAAATGTTAAAGCTGAATCAGCACTTTCCCTCTGATAACTCAGCAACGGGACAGGTTCCTTCAGGACTCCTGAAGGAAAACAAAATACAATTCAGATGCTTTTTTCTTCTTTTTTCTTTTTTTTTTTAATGTGTGTTTCAATAACTTTTTTTTTAAGGAGAATGGAATATTTAGGACTCAACAGGTTTATGTAGTTTCTGATAAGCTTTCTACATCCTTACTTTAAATTAAAATAATATACATGTTAGGACTGTTACATGGGACCTTGGGATAGAAAGCTACTAGAATAAGAAGAGACATCCAGAATCCTTCCCAAACAGCTCGCCCAGGCTCAGCACCCAGGTGCATAAGCATTAATTTGCTGCCAGCTACCTTTAACTGAACATCATAGCACTGCTGATCTGAGCTCACAGGACGAATGCTTGCTTGTTCTCTGGAAAAAAATAAAATCCTGTAGTAAGTTACAGTGAGATTAACTGAAGTGAACCTTGGCTCAGATTAGCAAGACAGAACTGGAAAAATGTCTCTTACCTATTTGCACAGCCTCTTCAATAATCTTTTTATTCAGATCCATGGCTCTCTGATCTGTTACTATGGCTACATCTTTCTCCAAGGCCTGCAACATGGCCGCAATAGCAAGGGCTCCTGGGGGCCCGTCGTTCTCTTCTGGCGGCTCGTAATTGAAGTGGGTGGGAAACCCGGTGGTTACCAACACGGACCGAGCATGGGACAGGGACAGGCAGGCCTTCAGCAGCTCACCAGGGCGGAGTAAATGAAGGATGCCACGATTGCCTAGGAAAGTATTTTTAGAGGCTCATTGATTTATTTAAGGGAGCAGTACACTTCTAGACATTGCTCTCTTTTTGAAGTTTCTGTCTGGATGAATCCATGTGCTTTCATTACATAATATGAGGAAAAAGGGAAGGAAAAAAAAAAAAGGAAGGAAGAAGAAAAAGAAAAACCTCTGGTCAAGGCAGCAATTGGGCTGATTTCCTCAGGAAACCTAAGAAGGTGTAGGATATGAGTAATGAGGGGAGCAAGCTGTGCTTCCAGGTTAAGAATTTTAGTTAACTGGGTTTTGGAAATCATTATACTAGCATTTCTATGTACTAATGCAAATAATTTTCTTTTCTTTCTTTTCTTTTCTTTTTTTTTTTTCCCCCTAAGAAGAGTTTATTGAATATTGTTTTCCATCTTTTTACCCTCTGCTTCCCTCTGGTCTGTGGTTATAGTCATGCCAGACCACATCTAACTACTGAAACTAGATTAATACTTATCTTCCCATGTTTTACAGAAGGTTCAATGCAGACCTCAGATGAGTAAGCTGGTTCTTTATCTCCGCTTAACTCTATTCCCTCAGGAAAGAGTTAATTCCCAAATCAATTCAACTTAATGAAATCATTAACCACAGCAGTGAAGGTTCAGAGCTGCTGTAAGCTACTGGGAGACTTGCAAAACTCAATCACTACAGTATTATCTAGGTGACTACTAAAAGATCTTGTTACCTGCTATCTAACCTTGACAAATAGGTGCATAGTAGCAGATCTCTCTTCTCTTTTGTCAGGTCTTGAAAAAGCAACACTGCGTCTGTTTAAATCTTATATTTTTTCAGTATTTCTTATTTCATTTCCTGGGATTCAGAAACACAAGTGTGCAATGCAGTCCTTTAGATTTTCTTGCATTCCTGAAAACTATGAATACTATCATGATGTGCTGATATTCATGAGCTGATAATGAGAGGCAAGTCCTCGCTATTGCTTTCTAGTCTCCTCATATCTTAATATTTCTCATGCTTTTTTCCTTCTTTCCTACTGTTGAAACTGTTTCCTCTGTCATTATCTCTTAATTTCTCCTACATAATATAAAGCCAGTGCATAGATAAAATGTAAACACTGGACACAGAAGAAAGTTCTCAACAGAACTCAGATAGAGGAAGGATATATTAGTCTCTGAGAAGCACGGTGTTTCAAGTGAGATAAAGTACCACAGCAGTGTAGGCACTCTTAGCATTTTAACAACAAAATAAGCCAGCTCTGAAGTTAGCTCTCATGTTTCTCTAGAGCGTGGCATTGTGCCATGCTGAACTCCAGAGTGGATAAAAGGAAAGGCTTTGTGAGTAAAAATAAACAGACCCAAATATATGCATGCAGCCAAACCCTGAGCTGGGGAAAGCAGTCTGTTAATTGCTTTCCACTGCTGCCTGTAGAGGATTTCAGAAAACTCATGGTAAACTGAAATCAGAATTTACAGCAGATAGAAGGGTCTAATTGAACAGATGTTTTAGGAATGGCTACGCTATTCTGTTTGGCTTTTAATCCTTTATTCTCCTCTCTTCTTTTATACACTCAAAGCCCTATCTTTCAACATTCTCTTGAGATCAGGTTACTTTGGTCCATCACACAAAGAGCTCAGTGACAAACATTCAGCAGAGCTTGGTGTAGTTTCACTGATCAGAGAGGGACGTTTGAAAAACACATGCAGCTACAAGAATATCCCCGTAAGAAAACATTAGTCATGAAAATATTAAAGAAACATGTTGTTTACTCAACAGTGAATACAAACATAGATGCTATGAGCTTGCTGAGACATCCTGTTCTTTACATATCAATTTCAGATTTATTCAGTAAACATTTCTTATTCCCTGTGGACACTCCAGTCTGCTGTAAACAGAAAAGCTTCTCTGTACTTTGAGAAAATACAGTCATCAAACTTGTGTGTTCCTTTACTGATGAAGTTGAATGGTTCAGGTCCAAGTCTGGTATTAAATATCACCATGAAATTGAAACATCAAGTTATATTAACAAATATATATATATTTTTAAGGTTAAAGTTGTCTTTATGTTCTTACTGTATTCTTTAAATTTGTGGATAGCTGTACAAACAGGGTCATTCATATCTACCTCAGAACTGAACTGTTACAGGAAGAGATTTTGTTTTTACCTGGATCTATTCCAATTAGGCTCTCTAGAGTCTTTATCTTTTTTGCTGCTTCTGCAGACACCATACTATAATGCAAAGGATCTTGTGAAATGCAATGGACTTGTGGGACTTCTCTTGAGGATCTGAGCATAACACTGTCATTCTTCAGGTCAGTAATGAACATGCAGCCAGAAGAATGAGTAAAAACCAATGGAGATCCTAAAACAGATAAAACAAAGAACAACCCCACAAACTTCAATTAAGTGCTTTGTTATTGCAATGTATCAAAATGTCAGAGAGATAAAATCACAAGAAGCTATTTAGCAACACAGAATCCCTACCTGATGATACTTATAAAACAGGTGATATTTTAAGATACACTGCAGCAATAAAAACACTTCGAGGAAAGAAATGTGCGCATATATATATAATATGCGCATATATTTATATAATATATAAAATGTGTGTGTTTGTGTGTGTGTGTATGTATATATATATATGCACATATATAAAATGTTTTCACTTCTGGAAAGCTCATGTGGGTAGTTGAGATCAGGCTTTTCTACACTACCATCTCTGATATCAGCCTGAGGCAATTCAGGAACTGATAACTTCAAGGAAGCCAGTCAGGAATTGGCAAGTCTGAAAACTAGGTTTGACGTGCATGAGCTAAGAACAAGTTAACACTGAAGTTTTCATAGTGTGTTGGTGATGTTGTTTCTGTAAAAATTAATTAATTTTCTAGGTTCTAGGCTGTTGCTGTGTCTCTCTATACCTCTGAATATAATTTTAATAGTGATATGACAAAACTGTGTTAACTTCTACCTGCTGGCAAGTAGTTATTGACTAAGAAAATGGAAATTGCATCTTTGCACAGCATCCTGTCTACCTAGCTAGGGTAGGTATAAACAGGCAAGGAGTTCCTGAAGTTCCTTTTGCTAAAGAACTAGAAGAGGGAATTTGAGAAACACTAAAACCCTGGTGAGCAATAAGCTTATTCAGATCTGACAGTATGTTACCTCCCTAATCTGAACATATTTCATTTATATATTAATTCTGGAAATCTCAATACTTGACCTACATAATACTTGATTTGCTAAAATGGGCATGTTTTTGGATAAATCACATCAGGCATATTTAAACAAGCAAAACATTACTTTGTTGGGATGGTGGAAAAGGAGACGACATGCTTGCTCTGTGCTGGATCTGTTGGGAATATATGGGCAGCAATTTAAAGGAAAGTAGGGAACGTGATCATTGAGGTTTTATATGCCTCACCAAACCACGTGAATAGACAACATATTAATGAAGCTAGCAATGACTTAGACTTTGATAGATCAATAACCTGGAGCAATATAATGCTGTCACTATGGTTTAGTTGAGGTTTCTTGCCCTTTGAACTCATGTCTGCTGTAAATGACTGGGTAAAGCACAGGATAATAACTTTTTACAGAGGGTAAGGTTTTCATTATATAAAGTGTGTCACATAAACTTCACTGAGACAAAAACTGAAACTTAAAAATTCACAAAACAATAACAAAATCTTTTTTCAGGTCAATCTCTCATGCACACACAGACACACACACAGACACACACACACACACACACACACACACACACAACTGAAGGATGATTTTAAGAGTTTCCAAAGACAGTACGTACTGCAGTTGATGACTGCTTCTATTCCTGTTACGCTGCAGGCCCAAAACACAGGGATATCACCAGGGTGAAGGTGAACTGGATCTCCGTAGTCTGGCTTGGAAAGATCTTGTATTCCCAGCAGACCTGTCATTGACCAATATAACCTCATCATAGGTCTCAGACAAGCAGTAATATTACAGAAGGTGAGAGGGGGACCCCAAATCCTACCCGGTGATACTGAGAGAATAAGGGCAATGGCAAATCCCCCTAAAGTGGCATATTTAGTTTGCACTGAGTGCATCTTCTCAGGACCTGAGCTGTCTTGTTCCTCCTTTTTGTTGGTGACATCAGTAAAAATGTGTTCACTTCATTTTTGCAGCAAAACACAGACAAGATGTTCATACTGAGCTCCCAAGATATTGTACATCTTTTCTCTCAACATAGGAATTGCAATGATGGCAAGCAGGAATAAATTAATGCAATGCAAAATGGGCTGTTTCTAGAACACACATCCTAATTCCTTAGCTTCCTGCATTATTTAGCTAAAGAAATGAGAAATCTTTTACTTCTCTGGGTTGGATTAGTACATCTCACTCTTAGCCAGCTTTCACTAACTTGTCTTTTCCTTTAACACCTACTTGCAGTATTCTAGGTCATTCATTTACCTTTTTTTTTTTTTTCTGTTAAAATTAAATACACAGGTGAGACCCTCACCCAATCTCTACTCAGAGCAATGAATTCTCACTAGTCTCTCAGATATAAGCACCGAGACCAAATAAATTACTGCAGTGTACTGTTACCAATGGCATCGCTTTCCATGCCATGCAATGTGATCTGGCTGTGTATGCAGCTCATGAGCCCACTGACTGACAAATTTCTGTCATTCACACACATCCACCCATACTTCTCCCCGTGCCATCAATCTCTTTTCTACCCTGTCTGTGGAATCCCAGGCAACAAGAAAGCATTTAAATATAAATGAAACTGCATACATTTTTGAAACACGCAACTATACTTTTTACCAAAAGCACTCTTGATATATAACTGTCATTATTCAAGAATTCTATGTATTCCACTCAGCCAAGACTACCTTATCTTTTTTCTTTTTTTGTTTTTCTCCTCTAGTTGAGGTTTGTATCCATTAAAATAATTAAAACATTAAAATAGTGGGGTAGGTATTAAAGTCTTAACATTTCCCATGGCTTCCCTTCCACCATTTTTATTCTTATTTTTTTAATTGATAATAAACCCCACATGGAATGAAATATGGAAAGTACTGACCAGGGTTACCAATGTGAATTGGTGCTCCATGATTTTCTTTTTTTAATTCAGATGTTGCTAGCACAGCTGCTTCCAATTTGCTTTCAGGAATTGGTCTCATTGTGACAACTAAGTTGCAGCAAAAAGTAGAAATAGCGTAGCATGGCACAGCTGTCTGGCAGTTAAAAAGAACCAAAAGTATTAGAAGAAATAAGCCAGCTAATAATATTCATTTCAAATCCTTTGGAAAAAGAAAAAAAGTTTCTTCTTTTAAGATTCAGAGCTGAAATCTACCATTCTTAAGCTTCTTCATAGAGACCACTAAGTGCTCCAAACCATGTGTTTTTTGCTTCAGTACATGTAACGTAGAGCATGAGCTCAGTATATTCAGAATATTGCCAGAAAACAATTCTGTACATCCTACATGGAAAGTGAAAAACTAACAAAGCATCATAGTGACAAATCTATTTGGTTTGAACCTCTTCTCTCTACTGGAATTCAGAGAAACTACGTTCAATAACACGTGAGGGTCAGGGCTGCTCACTGGCAGTCCTCTATTGCAGAAGCAGCGTGCCAATTCTTTGCATAAAAAAGTCTTTTGTGCCTCTGGGAAAGATCTATGGAATTCATCATCCTTTTTCACTGGGATGCTGAAACACCTTTTCTATTCAGAAATACAGCAGCCAAGGTTGCTAGATGTAAATATCTGATATACAAAATTGCATTTGAATATAAGTGAAAAATGTAGACAGCTGCATAATAAATGTTTGTTAATTTTCTATAACAATTACACCTGCCACTGAATAAATGCACTCCGTAGTTCTTCACACTATTTTTGTGCTATAAGCAATGACATTCTCCTAATTCTAAAAATGTTAAAGACAGATACGTAGCTGTTTTCTTTTTTCTTTAAGCTTGGTTAAGGGTCTCACATGAAGCACATTTGCTCCTTCAGTTTGACAGGCAGTACAGTAAAAAGACTGCCAAAAGATAACATTCATTTACTAGAGCAGTATGCTAGGTATATGAAAAAGGCATTCAGTTGTATTTGAAAGTGTTCTTAATATTAGTCTACCTACTAGAGTCAGAATTATACTAGGAGCTCTGCTAAGATTAAAATCTGCACTATGCAGTTTCTTACAGTTTTTATGCTATGGGAGGCATTTTTCAGGTCCCAGAGGCCTGGATCCTAGCATGTGTGCAGTATCAAGGCTCTACAGCCATAGGAAAAATCCAAAATGTGACCATTGTACTTGCAGAACAAACTGTTGCTGTGATGGTTCATAACAAATAATATTGCTGCTAACTGGGAGTGGTATAGAGAGTGGGACATGTATTAAAGTTGAGCAACAGAACAGTACATGTTTCCTTCTTAGTTTCAACTGATAGCCTAGGAGTAAATTCAAATGAAATGGCTGCCATTTCATGAAAAAGAATAAAATACCAATTCAGCTTTGCAAGAAGTTAAGAAAAGCACTGATCTGATTGGCATATTTGCTGGGCATATTTTATCTCATATTTTCATACTCTTAACACCAGTATCTGACTGAAGTTACTGTGCAGAATTGAAAAATTTCTGAGTGATCAGTGTAGGCACATAAAATAAATAAGGACAAATAATGAAAAGGTTATAGCAAAGATTATGTCTGTGCATCCTTACCTTATACATGCTTATGCTACATTTTTGATCAACATTTCTTAGAGGAATGCCAGCAGCTTGAAGTACTTTTTCAAAACTAGAGCTGCAGCCTAAATAGAAAGCCACCATGTCCTTCAGTTGTTCAGAATAATCCTTTAGACTTTTTAGAGATCCAGTAAAAGCTCCGTACTCATACTTTCTGTACTGCAGGCAGTCAGTTCTAGTGAAATAAGAAGTTATCACAGCTTTCTCATACTTTTTGAAAATATGTATGACAAAAATTATCAAAAATTATTATCAAAGTATTTTAAGACACTATCAAGCCACAAGATATATTACTTTATCCATTTCACTTCTTTCTGAGAAACAGTGGGGAAAAAATTTAGTATTTGCAACAGGAGACCCTCAGAAATATCATATAGCCAATATGCCTGTGTTAATATCAACAGAGGAGAGGTAAAACATTACAACTTCATTCTTCTCAGACTGCAGAATTGTAAGAAATTTTATAGAAGTTTCCTTTTGCTTTAGAGAAACACTTGCAGTACTGATAATTGTGATAATACATTTCTCAAGAACAAAACCATCAGGCTGATTCTATCCTGTTATATTCATGTGCAGTTTTCACTTAAAGGTGTAATTCCAAGAAAATAAATTCATTTAAAATGTATATAAGCACAAGCGGGTTATTCCCTGAAACACTGATTTTTCCTAATCATCATCAGCACTCACTGCAGAACTTTGAGAAACAGAGTCAGTCTGTATTTACCTGATATCAGAATCACTATTCAGAGAAGGGCACTTCCATTCCCCTGGTTTACTTCTGTGTAGGAGTGGCAGTGCTCCACTGTTTGCATGGCAGAACTTCTCGAAGTCATCAGCAAGGGACTTGTGCAAAATCACGACACTGGCCTGTTTGTAGCCTGGAATTGTGGAATTCTTCAACTTAAAATGTAATGCTGAGTTGCAAATTGTAGCCCCTAAAATAGTAAAGTTCTGGTACAGAGTCCATATGCAGTCTATTTCTTACTGCATGTGTGTCAGACCTTTCGACTTGCCTGGGTTTAGTGAAGAGAAATTGTCTTGGCCAAGTAGAAAATATGTAATAGAGTTATGAATATAAGTAACAAAGCTTACTTTTTGATAAAATGTAAAAAAAAAATAATAAAACAGCAAAAAAACCCCCATAAAACTAGTGGGATATTTGACCTTGCTTTCATGAATGTAATCCTTCAATGTCTTGTTCAGTGAAAGTGGTTGTAATTCTCAGTGAGCTCTCAAGGTGCTCCTCAGAGATTTTTGGTCAAGTATTGCTCCTCCTGTGCTTCGTCCTTAAGATCAGCGGTTCACAAATGTACTTGCTGCCAGAAGGCAATGACATGAATAAGGCATGACTCTAAAGCACGGAGTATTTTTTCTCTATTAAGGCAGGTCATGCTGTGTCTTTTTACTAGACTTTCATCAAATTCTTCTTTGAGTTCAGTGTCTGATTGCAAATCTATACATGTTTGAAAATGTGCAGGTAATGCATTTATTTCAACTGAAAATGGAATCACAGATATATATGTATAAAAAGATGCTTTTTCTGGAAATCTTGAAATCTATTATCAGATTCACTTATTGAAACTGAAAGCAAGGGTGCATATTTTTTTCTTTTCACAGGCCCGTGTTAATCCAACACATCAAAATGCATGAAATTGTTTTCTGTAACTTGAGCTCACCATAATTCAAGTTTGAATTATGGTTTGAAACAGATAAGTCGGTAACAGCACAGATAAGTTGACTTTTTGCCTTGAGAAGATGCATGTTAACTCATTAAGTCCACCAGTAATGATAAATCTTAAGCCATTTTTCATCTTCACTTTCTGGCACAAATTTTCCTTTTGATTCCATAAATGACATCTCACAAATCATGAAATCTTTTTAGCATTTTATTCTGACCTTCTTCCAGAAAAGTGAATTATGGCCTCATAATCTGTATCTGTACATTTAAGGAACTCCTAGAACTGGTGATGATTCAATCCATTGGACTTCATGATATTTACAGCTTTGATGATGATTTGCATGACATTACCCATTTTTAAAGCTTCCACACATAAATTTTACTGATGTACAGTGCAGTGATATTTCATCAAACATGATCTGCCAGTGGCAATTGTATCATGTTCTATTAATTTTTGAACTCCCTCCTTTTAAGCAGCCATCGCTGGGGCACCATCAGTAGCGATGCCAGATATGTTGGCAAGGGTTAAAGAAAATCACTTTAGTGTAATTTTTACTGCTTCATAAAAATCAAGAGATTTAGTTGTGTCTTTCAATGGCACCAAAGAAGCCATTTCTTCAGTGACATTGTATTCATCATCAATACCTCTAATGAAAATGGCAGGTTGAGCCATATGTGTAGCATCAGCATTTTCATCTGTTGTCAAAGCTCAGCATTCAAAATTAGCAGCTTTACCCCCCAAACTTCTTTTGATAGATTTTCCTATTTCTTCAGTTTGCCTGGCTGCAGTCTGGAGAAATCAGACTGCATTTTCTTGAATTCAAGAAAAACCTGTTTGCTAAACAAACTCAGCATCAGTAAATGGTTTTTCTTTTTTTTTTTTTTTTTAGTTTTAACTTTTTAAAAAAAGCTGTGCCAAGCCAGCTGTGGGCTGTGGGTTGGACATGCCTGACTTAGAGTTTGTTTGCTATGGAATTTTACCTTGAGCTGCAGTTAAACAGACAGAATTACAGATCATGAATAATCTGTTGCCTCTCACACTGGATCTTAGGCATTGCTACCATTTCCAATTAAAAAGCACACACACAAATAGAAAAAAAATCAAAATTCACAAAAAGAACAGAACTGCTACACTTTCTTCACTTAGAATCAACTTTGACTTAAGTTGTTGACTACTTCCATGCAGCTGTTTCTAAAGACATTCATATTTTTTGCAATGCATATTGGTGTGTCTTGGGAAGCTATTACTGTGTCAGACAGCAGACAGACAAGAGGCTGTGCAGAAGCCCCCATTCCCCAATTTCCTATGGTAGTCTGTCGTCCAAGAGGCAGTTGAAATCAATGATCTTCTTCAAAACCTGTAGAAAACAGCCAAATACTACTTTTGACCAAAGCTAACCAAGAAACCAAAAGATAAAATGCTGTTCCTGATGGAAAAAATGTAAAAGTAAGGCTTAAACTGAGGCAAGCATGTATTTGCATACTGAATGTGACCACAAACTGCTCCTTTGGGACCTATTCAGCACAAAAATTCCTTTTATTACTAACGAAAGTTACTAAATACAGAAATAGCTTCTTGCTAAATACAGAAAATAATTTTTGTTAAATAAGCATACTAAATATGACCACAGAAGAAAAGACTACACTGAGCTACCCTACAGCCTCATTCCCTACTGCCCATGTGAAATCTACAGGCACTTTCTACTGTGCTGATTATATTCACAGATTCTTAAAATTATGGCCTTAGTCAGTGAATTGAACTTGGAGAGCACTGAATTTGAAATGCTATTCACTTCTGTCAGACTGAGTCTGTAGGCAACTTCCAGGAATACTCTAAAGCCAGGAAGCTTTTTTTACCAACTCTTAGATACCTTTATTCTTCCTCCTGATAACTATCCTTATTTTTTGTATAATGAAAAGATATTTTTCACGTCTCTTATCAGCTGAAGTGTATACTTTCATTATGTATCCATCACTATGAATATATTCCTGAACAGTTCTAGCTAAGCTGGACATGCTGATAATTAAGGCATGAGTTCAACACACTGTTGTCCCAGTTCAGAGAAATTTTGAAAGACTTTTTTGATTTATTTTGTGGATGATAGTGAAGGCAACAAGAAATACTTACTTTAGAAGTATAGTGCAACAAATGAATCAGAAAAATCACTTCTGTGACCATACATCTCTGTGCACTAATTAAAGCAAGGTCTGTGATGAACACATTATGTGGCCTAATAAATGTGATGATAATGTGTGTAAGGAAAGCCAGATTTACCTTTTTTCAGATATTTCCTGCATCCATAAGTTCTCACTGACATAACAGAGAGCTAAAGAGTATACTACAGCTTTGAAAACAAAGTCCAAGTACTTTACATGTGTAGGATGATACATTTTCTCTAATCCAGCTTTGTGATTTAAGAACACAGTGTCAGGGGAATAAAATGTGATTTAAAAAAAAACCAGACAAGTTAAGAATGTAAGTCAACTTGACATTTCATCTCATTTACTTCATTGCTTTTGAGAGTTCTACATTCCTTTGCAAACATCATGAACAGGAAAAGAAAAAAATATATGCAAAGACGTTGCTGTGAGTCCAAAACAGAGTCTCTCTCCATATGGAGCTGTTAGGTCGCCTTACCTTCTGCCATTCCAGAAATATTCCTGTTATGAACTCTGCTGCAATGAATTATTCTTCGCAAATGAGGAAGGAGAGATTTCAAACCTCCAGTCAAAAGCATCTGTTCGGCCTTAACAGAAAGATGTTAGTTACAAATTTAAATACTTGTAAAAAACATTTTAAATTGCTGGAGAACATGATTTAAATTTCCTTCTCATGCCCCAAACAAAGTTTATTATCACTCAGAAATTTTTAGTTATAACCCAACAGGCAAACCAAAGTTAAAAGGTTACTTCATTGACATTTTCTGAATAAAAGCAAACTGAACCTTTCAGTAAATTTGCCAGAGATGTGCACATTAACATTCAGGATAAAAAGCCAAGTTTTGCAAGCCTATAACCTAATAAACATTTCTTTTTTCGTAGTTAAATTTTTGTTTTCTGGACTTTACTCTTCCAAAATTTGCTATGTTCTTAGAATTGCCAAAATATAAATGGATTAACTTACAAGATATATTCTATACTATTACTTATTTGTTGAAAATGCTTTCAGACAATTAGCAATGCAACCTTGTGGTTAAAAAAAAGACTATGTTCAGAAAATGTCATTTTAATGTATTTCACATCTGTTATACTTCTCAAATATTCATTATGTGGAAGCAATCCTATGGCTATTCTCCCACTGGGAAAACAAACATGTAGAAGTTTATGTCGTACTTCATTCAATCTGGAGAAGGAATAGAGATAAGTACCCAAATTACAGTCAGTATCTTACTCTTTTATTGTATATTGGAAATTAAAATTGTGTATTTTTACAGTATTATTAAAGTTGAAATATTCTTCTCTTAACCTAAAGTATCAAGAATTAAAATTGTTTATCATACCACCGTAAAGAAGAAGTAAAATGTATTTTAGAGTAAAATAATAATTTGGCTCCTTATGATTTTAACCTCGGCTGCTTTTCATGATCTAATTCAGAGATAATGTGCTTGTTTACCTAATCATATGCTCACTCTAAGCAAAGAAACTGAACTATCCTCCAAGCAACTGAATTACCATCCTCCAAGTTTTTCTTTAATTCAGGAGGAGCCATTCTTGATGTCAGTCACGAGAAGCAATGATGATGATTCCCTTTTGCTGGGGGACATATTTAGAGGAGGGTTGTTACAATTAGGGTAGTAAGGTTACTTTGTAGTTGGACTTAATGGTTTTTAAGTTTTTTTCTGACTTGAGCAATTCTATGATTCTATGATGATTCTATGATAGAATATGTATTCTTTTTTTTAAAGTTGCCAGTAAATTAATGTGCAATGAAATGTTACAGCCTTCCAGCAAAAGTTAACTTTGCTGTTAAAGATCCACATTTTGTATTTGTAACTATGATTGCAGAAGGTTTCACTCCATAGTGGAATGCATTTGAGCCACTTCGTTATGAAAATGTGTACCTCTGAGTAACTCATACCTTAATTAACTCGAAGAAAGAGCAATTATGTATTTTGACTGAAATTAAACTCATATCATATGCTGTCTGTCCAAAATATTTCCAAAGCTTGCAGAATTCTGAGAGGTTAAGTTGATTTAAGTGAGCTTTGTATCTGGACTTCAAAAATCTTCAATTATTAATTCTGACATATTTATATAACATCGTCAGCCAAAAGAAATAAGCTTGCACATTTTTCTTGAACTCTAACTTACTGTCTCTGACTCATCCCATCTTCTCTGCTTTTAGATATCAATCTATATGCCAATTAACAATGGTCTTCACTGCAAAATTCTGAACAATTCCAAGTGCATATTTTTAAGATAACAGGAATATGAATAGAGAAATGTGGCTGAGTTCTGATCCAGGCCTATAACTGCCTGTAGTATTTTTACTGCAAAGGGAATTTCTAACACCAATCTGGAATTATGCATTCAGACAGATGTATTCAAGGGATCCTTTATTTCTAAGAATCTTTGAAAACATCTTAAGAACTACTAGATTACTTGGATTTGAAAGACAGTCTGAAGTTCAGGAAACTAGTTTGGGACAAAAGCTGTCTTCAGTTCAGTATTTTGCCACAAATTCCCTAGTGTGATGTTGGGAAAGTCTGACCCTCAGTGTACAGAATTTATGTCCAGTGGGATTTTATTAGCAAACATTTAGGCACCTAAATTTTTTAGATTCATAAAAGTGAGTGGATAGCAAGCTATTTGACTATGACTATCAGTAGTGTCAAAATACTGGCTCTAAATACCTTATAGAAACTCTTGATCTTGTAGTTTCAATCTGTGTACACTGCCCCTAGCTGCACAGCAAGATATGTTGTTGATGATATGATATGATATGTTGACTAGTTAGGAAATAAGTAATTTAAACATTGCCTTCGTATAAAAGTAGGATGACTCACCTATTCCAGATGAGATAGAAAACACACCTTACAACCATTTGTGATCACTGTGCTAATTTTATAAAACTATGGGGAAAGTCTCCTATAAGATAAAATTTTGACCTGTAACTTCAGATCACTGTATTTGCTCTATAATGTCAGTAATAGATTATGTCTCTGTTAATTTATTTGTCACTGAACTTGAAGAGACAATAAAAACTCAGATGCTTACAGTAAAAATGTAGCTTTTGCTATCTGACTTCCTCAAGAATGGCTAATTTCTGCACAGTATGTTGCTTCCCTGTGCTAGGGGGCACACTTAAGTTTAGATTCCCCAGCCATCTCCAAGACCACCTGGAAAAGAGCTTGAGGACAAAATGATCGTGGCCTGTTTGGGATGACAAGGGAAAAGTACCAAGATTATTCAGGTCTTACAGCACCTTCTCCACTTTGTCCCATCAGGATATCTAACAAGTGGAGAGACTATCTTCATGGGACTTGTGAGCAGCTCACTAACTAAATGCTCTGGTAGGGCTGTTAATCAGTAACCAGCACTTGTTCCTTTGCCTAGCTTTTCAAACTGCTTTTATTTTGTTCTGAAATAGTTTCAAGTAACAGTACCAGGTACATTATGTAGATGTGATGGATCACGGTACAGATAAGACAAGGTGCAAGATTAGTGTTAAAAAGCCTTTAAGATACTTACATGGCCTATGAAATGCCTGTTGTACCTGAGGGTATCCTTTGCAGTGTTTCTCCAGGACACTGAGGTGTCACGATCACTTTTAAATAACCAGGTTTTTTAAAACATGGTTTCACATTAGAAGCACAACTTATTATTTCACGTGTATTTTTAGTGTTATATACTGAACCTAAATGAATGACTTAAAATGCTTTGCTGTCTTTAGCCATTAAAATGGCACCCACTATTGATGTGAGGACTCTGCCACATTCTGAGCTGCGCTCCTGTGTCTTGACAAGGAAGTTGGAAGCAGTATTGTATTTAAAAAATATATACATATTCAGGAAAATAACTATTCTTTCCATCACAGTGGTGATCAGAAAGGTTCGATAAACAGGTCTTGGATGTGGTTTTATTAAGTTTAATGTAAAATATCATTTTACAAGGTTTAGTGGGGAAATACTGGTGGTAGGTGATGGCTGGACGAGATGACCTGGAATGTCTTTTCCAACCTTGGTGATTCTATGATTAAGTATACATCTGTGCAGCACCACTCACGTTAGTGGAGTTGGGTGGACAAAACCAACCTGATTATCTTGTCCCCACTGATGTACAGACTGCACCATTATCTAGGCAAAAATGATTTTCAGAAAAGTAGACTAAAAAAAGTATTTTTGAATACAGAAACTGTGATCAATTCTTGCCAAGAGAAACATCAAGTCATTAAGCATTTTTTGCGTGTAGTTTTTAGGACCGTTGTTGGGTACTGTGACTATGAGCAATGAGGTGAGCAAGAGGCATCTACTAAGTGTAGTAGACTGTTTCTAAGAGTCATCTTTATCACTCATTGTAAGGAATGTGCTCTTTTTCTGTTGAAACTCACAATTCATGGTAAGTAAAAGGCATTTTGAGAGGAGTGTTACTTTATTCTGCTAAAAGACTTGATGTTCTCCAGGGGAGTGCCCTTCCCTGACAGATCACTTAGTGATTCACTGGTTTTTAACTTTAATCCTTATCTGCTAACAAAGTTAGTTACTGTTTACCAAGGTAAGAGTTAAACATTGTACATCTATACCTAAAAAAAGTTACCAGCATCCACATATCTTTACCAAATTATCTCTAACCCAACATGAAGCAAGAAAAGTTCAGTTACGGACTGAATTTAATAATGAAGTAGTCTTGTATTTCACATGGCCTGTTTGATGGACTAAGTAATCTCCTTGTACCACCCCACTGTATGCACATCCTGGGCTTTTTCATTTTCACCTTCTTTCTTTTGTCTACAATGTGCTTCTCTCTGCCTTTGTCCTCCCTGAGCTCAGTCCTCATCTCACAACTCTAAGCTGGGCTGACTCTCCTGGAGTTTGCTTCCTTGCTCTATCTGACTGCACCTTCTGGCAACTTCAGAATGTCAGTAGCTCATTTCACTAGCTCATTTCAATTTACATCCATGCTGTTTTTCTTGATTGCTCCTCAAACTCTCCCTCAGTTTTCATCCTTAAAACTCACTTTTCTATTCTTCTTCTGAAATAATGTAATCTAACTTTGTAAATTAAAACAAAACAAAACAAAACAAAACAAAAAAACCACAATATATAAGTAATACTTTTGTACACTTTTAAGATGCAGACTCCACTGAATCTCAGTATCAGCATCAATATGTATGTGTATATATATATACATATATATACATATACATATATATACATATACATGTAAATGTTTGCTCTCTTAATATTACAGATGATAGGCTTGGATTAAGCATAGCTTTATTTCTATTTTCTCCATTGCATCTCACTCATTTTTGTCAACAGAACAATTAAATATCCTTGCAAGATTATGTACCTTCACATTAAACTCTTGACCGAACTATAGGTTTATAAAGCATTTTTATAATCTGTCAATATATTCACTTTCGATATTCTGAAAAAGGAAGCATGTAAAGCAAAGGATTTTATATTACCTTAGGGCTTTCAAAATAAGAAAGCAAATCTGTAAATTTTGCAGATATTTAAAGATGAGTATAGATTCTTTCAAGATCCACACTGTAAATTACTCAGTTTATCACTCTGTTTAAGTG